CCTGACATTCAGCAGTCCAAACGTCAGCGGAAAAAAACGCACCCTTGCGCGTAAGACTCGTCAACGGCGCGGTGAGAGACGAGTAATTGGCTATAAACTTGCGGAAGTAGTTGGTAAGCCCTAGGAACTTTCGCAGCTCAAGCAATGACGTCGGGACAGGCCAGTCACGCACCGCAGCAGTCTTCTTAGGGTCCATGCGAACCCCGTCAACGGAAACCACATGACCCAGATACTCAACTTCGGACTTCGCCCAGTGGCACTTGGACTGCTTGGCGTAAAGCTGTTCCCGCCGCAAAACGTCGAGCACCAAACGAAGATGTTGGAGGTGCTCTTCCTTCGTTTTGGAATAGACGAGGATATCGTCCAGGTAACACACGACAAACTTATCGATGTACGGCCTGAACATACGGTCAATTACGGCTTGAAAAGTAGCAGGAGCGTTAACAAGGCCGAAGCTCAAAACCGTGTACTCAAAGTGACCGAAAGGAGTGCGGAAAGCGGTTTTAGGAATGTCAGACTCAGCAATGCGAATCTGGTTATATCCCTGCTGCAGATCTATAGAGCTAAAGTAAGCGGACCCGCGAAGCTTATCAAGCAAATCGTCTACACGCGGAAGAGGGTACCGATTCTTAGTGGTCATGGAATTCAATCCACGGTAATCTATGCACATGCGTAGAGAACCGTCCTTCTTACCCACAAACAAGATCGGGGCAGAGAAGGGAGACGTACTCGGACGAATCATGCCTTTAGCAAGCAGCTCGGTAACCTGCCGCTTGACCTCATCAAGCTCAAGAGGGCTAAGTCGGTACATAGGGCGTGCGACGGGTTGGGCGTCAGGCACCAACGGAATTGTGTGATCCACCGGACGGACTGGAGGAATACCCGGGATTTCCCGGAAAACATCAGCGTATTCCTCAAGCAGTGCGGAAACTTCAGGGTCCTGAGTGGGAGGAATCACAGAAGTGGCGTTAAGGCTAACCGAAGGACGAACCAGTAAAGCATGTGCCCCTTTGCGAATAAGACGCATAGCAGCATTACGACCAATAGACTCAGGGGTGGCGTGCGCACACATGGCAGCAGCCGCAAAATTAACAAGGGGCGCCGACGAGGCAGCACCACTGTCACCCGAATCATTAGAAGACGTGCGCCAAGGAATCGAGTGCCGAACAGTACCCTTTGACAAACGCAAAATATTGTTTTAAAAATCCAGGGATGCAGAGTGCTTACGCAAAGTATCAGATCCCAGAATAAAAGGAGCAGCGTCAGTCAAGGACGGCAAAACGTATGGCGAGACGGTTAGGTACAAAGACCCGACTGCCATGCGAAACGACACCTGACCCACGATTGCTTGCCTACCTCCGTCAGCGAGCGAAACATGGGACCAGTCCGAAGAGCGGACCGGGAGGTGTAGCCGTTGGACAAGGGACTCACTAATAAAGTCGTGAGTAGCGCCTGTGTCCACCAATGCCGAAAACGTTTGGCCACCAGTCCGCAGGGACACCAGAGGCAAAGCAACTCGTGTGTCCACAGAACCGGAGGCAACTGCGCAAAGAGAGGAAGTAAAGGGCTCCCGGGCAACAGAGAGACAAGGTGAAGGTGCATCGTACCACAACTCAGCAGGATACGGAATTCCAGGAAGCTCTACTGTTTTACCCTCAAGCGAAAGGCTGTTGAAAAGGATGGACTTCGCAGGAAACGTAAGCACTCGGCGCATACCTGCTAGCAACGTTGAAGCCCGCCGAGCGATATGCGAAGGTAGCAAAATGCCGGCCGCGGTATCAGGACGGCGGTGCTTGCATGCAAGGTAGTGCCGAAGCGAAACGCGCAATTGAGTGAGGGATGCAGGGACAAAAAGCACAGTATGACCACCAACGTCGACCGAGCAGAGAGAGCGACCGCGAGGAACCGTTATGTTACATTCCGAGTCAAAGCCCGGTTTGACAGTAACGGCGTCAAAAGAAAAACGGCGTCCAATGGCACTCTCAAACTCTGCCAACGCGGCGGGTCTAACCGTGCGGACCAAAGAACGAATCCCCGCAAAAGGAAACTCAGGGTAATATCCCTCAATACCGCCCTGAGCAAATTCCTAGCACAGCCCCGCTTCACGCAACCTTTTGAGAGCGGGACAGTTGTCGTAGAGGTGGTCGGGACTAACCACCTCACAACAAAAACAGACGGCCTTACCGCCCGCGCGCTGTCGGAGAATTCCCACCTCCCCGTGCGTCAACCTACGGCCGAACTGGTTGACCCACTTGGTCAACTCGCAAGCTTTCGCCAACGGAGTGGCGGATTCTCCGCCAGCGGGTGCACTGGGACGGCCAGTGCCGCGACCCCTATCCCCGCGCCCCCCACGCGAACCTGATCTACCCCCATGACTATTACGCCCAGGACCGCTTCCGCGTCCCATCTGCCTAGGGGCCCCAGCAACAGCTGCAGCGAGACGAGGACCGGGGTCCACGCGCGCCCGCTTGACTGGAGGCCCATCTTCGTCATAATCCTGCAAAACAACAGAATTCGAACGAAGAGCAGAACGGACTTTTCGTTCAGACAGGGCGCGCACTTCCTGGCCCAAGGCATGCTGTACCAGGGCGTCGTAAGAGGCAAACGGCTTTCCATAGACGTCTGTGGCGCAATGGGGCTGCAGGGAAGAAGAAAGGCCTTCGAAAAACCAAAACATACGCTCACTAGGAGTGATCGTGGGTATGTCTTGGAAGACGGCCTCAAGACGCGAAAGGTAAGCTGGTACACTTTCACCAGCACGCATCGCAAAAGATTTTTCAGAGAGCCTACGTCGTGCTTCTTGTTCTACAGAGATAACCTGAGGAGCGAAACGCGTACGCAGGTTATCCAGAACAAGCTGAGCAGTGAGTTCACGCTGCGATAGGGACCACTCATCATACCACGTTTTTGCAGCGCCACGGAGCGCTTGCGACAAAAAGAGGCAGCAAGAACAATGGTCCCTACCCCAGGGCACGATTTCGAAAAACAAAGACGCGTCGCGAATGAACGCCTTGACGCGGGCAGCAGTCTGCTTCGCATCAAGCTTGGCATCTAGCTGCAAAACAGGAGTCGGTAAACTAACCCGAGGAAGGTCGGCAGAAGAAATCGGCCGAACCGAAGGCAAAGGCTCTGGCTCGGCTGCGGCTGCCGCCGCAACCGCACCCCCAGCAGCAGCAGCCGCTTCCACCGCTAACGCACGCGCAGCCGCAGCACGGTGGTCCGCATCTGTCGTCGGGGTTTCTGGTATCACCGTTGGAACATCCGGACGATTCATGGGAGTATTCAGCGGGTTGCGCAGGGCAAAAGGGGCCAAAGAAGGCAAGGAGTGGAGACGTTCGTCACCAGTAGGACCAAGTGGCCTTAAACGAACATTCTCGGCAGCCCCAGTGGGCATATGCAACAAAGGTGCTGCGGCAAAAGTTGAGAATGGCGTTCGCGCATCAGGTTCGCGAACAGCAACAGGGACCTCAATAGGGCCGCCCGGACCTCTAGAAGTACTAGGTGCACCGGGGTCGGAAACAAGTCCCGCAACAGCGTAGGCAGGCAAAGTGGAACGAGCATCAGGTGCGCCCGACGCCATGTCTACACCATTACGGTCGCCGCCCAAATTAAACGGGGCGGGGCTAAACATTTTAGCTAACTGAGAAGGGCCTACCCTTATACAGCAATGACGCAGTCACTGCCGCGGATAGGGGGAGAGCTTGAAGTAGCGGCTCTACCTCAGTCGGGTCCAGCACACCCGTTCTAACCTCTGCAACAACAATGAGCGAGGCAACCAAGGACAAAACAATACAGATGATTACGATCTTTCACTTACCCTGAAGAGCCGCCGCGAGCGCTCCAACACTGTAAGCCTATGACCTTTACTAACAATCGAGATTGGTGCGGAAGAGCTGGTTGAGACCGAACGTCTCGATACCACTTGTTGTATCCACCTCCACTGTTTAGGTGGTAGTGAAAACTTAGTTTTACAACACTCCCACGCGGACAATCCGTCGACAACTAACCCTACTCATAGCCAGCAGTCCAAACAGATCCGTTTACCCAGCAACGCAATCAAACGCAAAATACGGTTACTCCCACGTTCACTAAAGCCACGTAGAGCAACCCAACAGTGTGCAAAGCAAGGTGACGCACTCCCACGGGCGTTTAAACTCCGCACGCGCGCACTCATACTCGGTTTGACAAAATCACGCATGGTTCACATGAAACAACAAGGCGCATTTCACATCGCGTCGCATACCGCGCATTACTGTGCAGTGCCATACAGCTTCCGCAATGCACAGTACACAGCAGGACCAGGACGTTTCCTAGTCGCTATAATTAGCGCCATCAAACACCTCATCGATCACGACCGGTACCAGTGCCTTAGTGCTGTTCATTTTCGCCACAGGATCAGCCGACAGAGGAAAGCGTTTTAATACACTAGCTTCACCTCACAACAATGACTGATGTAACACCCTACCAACTCATAGGGGGTCTAACAGCGTCTAACTTCTTAGGCGGGGCTGTCAGACGGGCTCATTATCAGCTGCTGACGATAGTTGTCAACGTGGCATAACAGCCAGTTAGACACTGGGTTAGAGGCTGTCTTGTCCTGTTTGGCCCTGTGACTGACATATACCTGGAGCCCACACTGTTAACAGTTGTCTGCTTCTAGGGACTGTTAGCAGCTGTAAGGACCTGTAACTGAGCACTGTCTGCCACAACAGGATATTGTTGACAGGATGTTACACTCTGGGTGGGTCACCCAGATGCCGAGAAAGAATTTGTGACGGCTGTTAGGGTTTTGGGAAGCTAATCGTTAGCAATTGTTCAATTCACTTAAGCTGTTAAGCGGTGCCAAGGGCTGTAGTTGCTAACAGGCCTTGAAAGCTGTTACGAGCAGGGACATGCTAAAAGGAAGTTCCATCATGTTACTGGCTGTTGCCATTAGATAATTTGCTGAACTTTTGTTGAAGGATTTTAATTGCCGTATTGAGGTTCAGACGCTGTAAATTTTATGAGCTTTTACATGATTCCCTGTCCACTATTAAATCACACATTATCTTTTTTTGGAAAGCTGTCTGACTTCATTATTCATGCCATCAGCATCTATTTGCCATCATTGGGGATAGAAGCTTGTAGTGCATGGGTAGGCACAAAACCACATTCGTCAGGAATTATATACATATGTATGTATTACACACAACAGTCTGGGTCGCCCTGGTCACCTCACTTGCTCATCATGTGGAATTGTGCAGTATAGTGCACAGCCAGCTGGCCTGTACAGGCATCTATTGTCTCTATTCTTTACAAGTCTGGAGGCTGCTACCAAAATCATCACAGCAACAGCAGTACCTGTTCTTGGCATGCAATTATACACACATGTTCTTCATCAACCTTCACCTGTGACCTGTTTCACACTACTACTGCACTGCTTCCATTTTTCCTAGTGAACACCTACTACACACCACTGAACCACATAGCTCTAGACTGCAGCTGCCCACTGGCTCTGTATCCCTGCTCATCAAGGAACCTCTCTAAGCAACCAACGCCAGCTTGCCCTTGTACTGGACCATGGAGTCATTCCATAGAACATTTGTGCAGCCATGGGAGAAAGCCCACTCCTTGACCTGCTGCTTGCTGAATCTGCCAAGTAGGCTCTGCACTGGAAGCTCTACGACTGTGTGCTTCTTGAGCTCCTTGCCAACCTTAATGGTACCACTGGGCAATACCATGGAGGTCTTCTTGCTGTTGTTCACCCTGTGCAGAATGAAAACGGACACCTTGTCCGTGTCATGCACGATGTTTTCCTGCATCATGAATATGGAGGGACCGACCAGTGCTTATTCAACATTGTGGACATGTATGAAAAGAAACATAGCAGTAGCATAAAATGCATAATCCAGCAGCTGCAGGCAAAGACATTAATTTCAAGCAGTTCATGGTTGCACTGCATTGCAGCTGCAATGTATGCCACACATGCTTACATTAATTGTATGTTGTGAGGCAGCTGCAGATGACAACATGGTCATTCTTGCGAAGAAACATCAAGCCTAATTAACTTACAAGACTGCCAAAGACCACACCGCCAGCTAAGAGCACAGGACTGTCCTTGCCCTCAACAATGAAGACGAACTTGTCATCTTCATTGTTTAGAGGCCCTAAGCTCTTCTGCAAGTATTCCAGGTGCGACTGTGAA